TGTTAACGCAGCTTCCCGCGCTTCTTTGTGGTTGCACGTGTATGTGCCAACTACTTATTGTCGCGATGGTGATCGCGCTTTATTTGTGATGTCGGTTATTGCGGACTGGACCGCATTGGAGTATCAAGATGTCGAGTATTGCGTGTTAGAGCGCTCAAAGTGGTGTCGATTGTTTCTAAGTATCTTAGAATCTGCCCGAATGTCGTGAACTGGCTGTATATATCTGTTTTCGCCAAAATGGGGAGTTTACCTTGTTGGCAAATCATGGGCCTTTCACCCCCTAGAGCCGCTCTCCTAGGCCCTCGTGCACTCCCCCGTGGTCCGCAGAGCAGGGCGTTGGCAGAGAGGGAGAGACGGTCCCAAACGGGGTGTCAGCCCCGCGTGGCGATCTTGCCGAAACGTCGACTTTACGGATTTATGGCATGTTTACCGTTACTGAGCGCGCAGAGGCAAGTACCGGCTTACCATGTGGCCCGCAGAAGTGGAGAATTTCCGCGGCCATCAGGTAATAAGCCGGATTTGCCCTCTGGCTTGAATAGGCTATTGTTATAAAGAAACTTGTAGAAAAACTTCTCAAAAGTAACGTCGCTTGGAATCCATGCCATAAACCCCTGTTGGTTAAACAACATACATAGTAAAAATGTTATGCGATATGTGTTTTGAATTCGTCTCGATGTCCACAAAAAAATGGTAAAAAAAATGTGTTCCTATTTGTAAAACCCAAGGTGACATTGATTTCGCCATGAAAACAAACTGTTTTCGAAATTGTTTTCACTGATATCTATTGTACACTCCATACCCTACAACTCTTGTTCTAAACTTTTTTTTGTCAGATGGCTGTAAATGGGTGAAAAATCGTGCGTCGCGTTAGGGGTAACACCCTGTATTCTATGGGTCGAAAGAAAAAAAAATGTTATACAAACATAGGTCTTTTAGAGCTTCGTTAAAAAGTTATGGAAATAATACGAAATGAAGGGAACAATAGCAGACTCGCGGTTATTGCTATGTAATACAGAAGTAGATCAGCAATATTTACGTTTACTCAGTTTATGCAAGAAGCAACTAATACTCCGTCCCAAAAATGTCCACCGTTTATGGTAATGCAAGATTGACATCAGAAAACATCAGAAGACATCAGATAACAGAATTTCGTTATTATTTTGTTCCATTTCAGTAAATGCATCGTTGATTTTTTGTATCAGTTCATTACGCGATTTTGTAAATATCGCGCAAATATTGATGATCTATTTCTGTATTACATCACAGTAACCGTGAGTCTGCTATTTCCTTCATTTCGTATTACCGCCATAACTTTTTAACGAAGCTTTAAAAGACCTATGTTTGTGTTCCGTACCGAACATTTTTTTGTCTATTTTCGCATCGAGCCTTTCTCCTTTTATTTTTATAGCTTAAGGAAATTGTAAGACGGGCCTGAAGAATCCGCGACCCATAGGATTAGCCGGGGCCGTTATTAAGCGCGTACCCTCGGTAATTTCACCACCAGAACTCAGTTTATTAACCATTGTCCCGATTTTCCAATTACTGAACTAGTGTCTTCCTTCTCTCATGTCCTATCTCCTTTTTTTCGGAATTCCCCAAAACCCCGACACCTCATACTTCTACCACCAGCTTCTACCACCACTTCCCACCACCACACCCTACGACCAATACTTAATGTTCTTATTTCTCCCATTTTTCACTTCCAAAATTAAACTCCGCCCTCAGTAGCTGAGATGCGTGACTTCCTCTGAATTTCGAATCAGTATCATTCTGAACGTTAAATAACCAAGTATTGAGTCAGTCCGAGCGCTGAACGCATAATCAAGTCGTTTATATTATAACGTTGGAGAAAGGGTATTCCGGGATCGCTTCAGACCTCGTTAGAAAACAGTCCGATTTTTCTCTTGTGATCCAAGTTTGAAACATAACTCAAACCGACGCGAGTACACGACAGTTTGTATAACATTTTTTTTTTATTTCGACCCATAGAATATGTATACCGACAACGTTTGGCCATTAAAACCTGGGACATACTGTATATATATTTTGTATGCAATATACTAAAGCAAACTAATATAATTGTAATGTTCATGTTTGGTCCAAAATTTTTATCACGAGTCAGACTCGTCAAAGTACGGCAAGGGGTTAATCATAACACACTGGCTCACACTTCGATGCTTATTCGCGACTTTTTGGCTAAAAACTTGACTAACATTATCTTCTAAGCACCGTGTGAATTTTTCCTGTTTCCCAGACTGAAACTTCCATCACGGAGACACAGTCTTGAGTCAATTGATGTGATAAAACTAAATTCGCTAAATGAACTAAAAACAATCCCAGAAATCGAGTTCCAGTGATATGTACATATTATGAATATTGGAAAAATTATTGGCATGAGTGTATTGTATTGGCATATACCAAACAGATATTATTGAATAAGTGTATAATTTGAATTTTAGTTTATTTGTCCTGAAACTTTGTTGATACATTAATTATTCAAGAGATCTTTCATGTGGATTCGATTAAGAATAATGGTTAATTCTTTTGTCTCAAAACAAGTGAGAAATGGTAAGTTACTTTTAAAAACGTTCACCTTGATTAAAAGTTTAAATAAAAATTCGTATCTAAAACAAAATTTTTTTTCGTTCTCAATATAAATAAGGCGATTTTTACTGGAGATTTGGAGATGTATTGTAACTAGAAACCCCGTTAAACGCCTGAAATTTAATAAAATATACGATTGTATCTGCGATAGTGTAAAAAAAAAGAAGACGGATTTCTCGGGTTGACGAAAAACGCATATAAATCGGTTTCTGTTAAAAATTTAATACATCTGTTGAGTGTCTTAAGTTACTAATACATTGTTTACAATAATAAGAATATTATTATCCATTGTCATACTGATATACAATAGTAATCTTTTTCCATGTAATACTATTACATCTTAAATTAGTACGGAAAAACGTGTCTATTAATTCGTTAACAATTCCATGAAAACATTAAGATACAATGATTTTCAATATATTTACAATTCATTCGTTTGTTTGTTTGTTTGTTTAATATTGATTATTTAAATTATATAGTAACCCCTGTATATAGAAAATGCGATTGATAACATGTATCAAATAACGTGGCATTGAAAGAAAACAAACAAATAATAAATTAAGTACTCTGCATTTCCACGTGATTTATATAACAACACGAAACGAGATTACAAAATTACAATTGCCAAAAATGGATCAGTCAAATAAACATCAAACATCAGAAATTATTGCTCAATACTGCAAACGCTATTTTTATATTCTATAGATCTTGATTTTCGTATGGATCACGATCGTTTCGGAAAATGGCTATAAAGTTAACTGTAAACGTTGGGAAGCATACTAAGCGTAGCAAACCGACTAGTTTTCACTTCTGCATTCCCAATTAACATTAATGTAACGTGTTAAAAATGTCTTTTCCCTCCACTAATTTTTTTATGTCTAATTTGTCCTCAATTGATAGTCTCCATTCTGTGTAATGTATCTCACCCATGGTAGTGCCTGATATCCACTCTTTTCGATAATTTTTAAATAACGGACTTGAATTCCTGATGTAGTGAAATAAGGGATCTCAAACTTAACTTGAATTGGTGGCTTTCCTTCCACATCCTCTCCAACTACAGATGGTAAACCAAAGTGTGCCCTCATCAGATATTCCTTTCCTCCAGGGAATGATTTAATAAACCATGTTATTGCACTCTGTTCTGGTGAATATTTGACACTTCCAATAGTGGTCTTAAACTTGGGAGAGTCTGCATCATTGGGTACTGGAATCACTATTTCTACGTTGTTGGCCGTAGAACGCCTCTTAAATTGTGATCTTGCTTTTATCATGTACTCTACTCTGCTGTGAGCATGTCTTTCGATTACAGATTCAATCCATATCAGAGGTTTCACGTGTGTATTTAGTCTATACGACATTAGTTCAAACTCTCCATCAGGAGGAATAAAGGAAATTGTTCTGTCATTTTCAAATCTGGATAATCTAACACACTGATGGAATTTCACATCTTCCAATTCCACAGACTTGGACTTTCCACGTCCTGTAGACTCGAACAGAACTTTATCATTTAGGCCAAGTCTCAGTTCTGGCATTCCAGACAGATAAACTCTCATTTTTATGGCACCCACAATTTCAGAGCTCAAAACATTTCCATTGGCATTTGCAAGAAGATTCACAGATTCAATAACATCGAGAAAAACTTCATTTTTACGGTATTTGATGCCCTCTGACCTCCAAGATACCGCATTAGTCACAGCCATAGGAATGCGTGGTTGAATTTCAAGTTTATGCCCTTCTTGGGTAATATACTCTTGTAAGATCTTACTGTCTGTGGTTTGTGGATATCCAAAGTCAATTAATTCGTCCAAGAGCTCATAAATTACAACAAAGTTGTCTCGTATGCTCTCTTCTTCCAATTCCTTGAAATATTCTTGCATGACTTGCACCAGTTTATGCAAGAACACAAATACTAGTGAAATATTGGCATTCTTTTTTGTAGTTGACACGATATACAAATTATTGTACTTTATATACGCGTATGTACATTCAGCAGTTTGAATGATCGGAGTAAGATTGCCTTCCTCCTCACGCTCCATTACAAGGGGCATGAACTTTTCTATGACACCTGTTTCTATGTCTCCACGATAATTCCGTGAGATCAAAACCTTCCCCTTCACATCTAAAATATATATCGCAGATGTCGACATCTTGAGAGCCCGTTAAACTGAAAGGAAGAAAAAAAAAACCATCTGTTACCCTAACAAATCGATTCTTACTCGAAATACAAAGCGAAAATGAAGAACGATCGATGAAATCGTGCGGCAGATCGTACATTGAGAAGACATAATAGAGGTTATGTTGTCAAACCGAAGAGTACTATAAGAGCAAAAAATTGGATCTGAAATTAAAAATCCGATTCACGAAACTCGTACCATGGAGTAAAACATGTAGAAACGTAAGATGGAAGTGAAAAAACGATTCGAAGAAAATACAACTTGACACTCGAGGATACGTCAAGGAGATTGAACGAGAGTTTCAATGGAAAATTCGTCGAATATTCAAGTACTTACATATTCTTCTAATTCCTTGAGGAATATGAACCCTTTGCTTATTTACATCGAAGAGAATTTCTCTTGTTGAAGAAAAAAAGAAGAGAATTTATTGACAAAAAAGCCCTCCCCTCCCAACTATTCGAGTGCCACTGTGGACCACCCTGAAGTTGCTGCGTACTGAGACAATTGAGGCGCATGCGTTGCCAACTTCGCGCTGAATATCGACCGTCTCTATTCCGCGTCATTCAAACACTTTATAAGCGGAAATATTTAGTGGCAGGCATTTTTTCTATTCTCTTTTTCTTTTTTTCTGAATTTCAGAACGCGCTATCGCCTCGACTTTATTGCCACAGTAAAAAAGATAATTTAATAGTCAGTTCTTCGAAGGAAACAACGCTAGTAATACTGCTGAATTGGCGAGTCGTAAAATTCGTCGTACCCTAATTCGAATTACCGATACTTTCGTTTTATTAATCCGCGTTATTTTTCAACGCCGTCGCGTAAAAACACGATGAAACTTTTACAATCATAGTTATTGTAAATTTCACGTCACTGCTTTTATTATCTTATCTTCAGCTAAATGTTTATCTTATCGTAAATCTTATCACGCGTCCAACCGAAATGTTTCGTCTTTCATTTCTTTTTCTTACTTTTTAAACCCCTCGACGTATTACGTTTCGACACTATTACTTTTACAAATTCAATTTTTTCAAAAACTAAGCTTCTCACGAACAAATTTTATCCTATATTTTTCCTTTGCTGGTTCATCTAGGATAACCATTAATTATACGAAGATCGTTTCACAACTATTTTGAAATTATAGCCGCCGGTAGTAGCGAGGGGGTTAGAAAAGGGAATCAATCAGATTTACGAATTCCAACGTTACGTAACAACACAACGGCCGTCTGTGTTACGTAATAAAAGTGTAGTGCACTGAAGTAGGCAATTGTTTGGCACAAAAGCGCATCGACGGTCGCTCGAGCTCGCTATAAAGTATAAAAGAATCGAGGCAGAGGTGAGAGGTGATCGAACCTCGTTTGACTACGCGTATATGTATAGCTTTGTGAAAGGAGAACGGAAAGTAGAAGATGGCGCGTGACACTGGTAGCTGTCAGCCATTATTATTCCCCGTTGGAATTATGTACAGCGAACGGATGCTTTTAGTTTTAATTAAAGCGTAATTTACGACGTCGTTCCGCCGTCGAAGTATAAAATCGTGATTCGAAGCGGGAAAAAGAACTTTCAATCTTTCTTATCGTCGCGTTGTTAAAAATATGTTTATAAAATAAAAAAAGATGCAAAAAAAAAAGAAAACAAAAAATACGTTGTTGCGTGAAACTTGAATATTTGCTCCACACAGGCGGTGTGGTATTTATACTGTACTTTTTCAATGATAATATGACACCGTTGATTCACGTTGAAATTATTAACAGTTTTCAAAGTATATAAAGTTTTCCTGTTTCTGTACTATTTTAATTCAAATGTGGTACAAGTGCTGTAGGCGTCCAACCGAAATGTTTTATCTTTTATTTTTTTTCTTTTTACTTTCTAAACCACTTCGGTGTATTATATTTTGACACTCTTTTTTACAAATTTAGGTTATACATGGTTTAAGTTAGGACCTGTATCACCGGTTTAGGTTATGGGGGTAACCTGCAAAAAGTCGACAATTTCACATTATAGCGACTAATTTTAAAATGAAAGCCTAGTTACACTGAACTCTTATTATTTTTTTTTATAAAGCGTTGATGTTTACAAATTACAAATATACACTTGGCAACGCTTTATTTTGCATTAGTACTGCAAATCGCCACTTGAGAACCACGTGTTACAGTTTTCTTGGTTTATAGATAGTTCGGGTCGCGTAATGTTCGATGCTTAATTGCCGAACCGGTACGCGAGTTTAATCACACCTTGATTTATTCAGTGTGAAATACTAAGAACTAGTTTTATTTGCAACAGAGTGATACTTGAGGTGATGTCGCCACGAGACTATCAAAATACTAATTTTCGTAAGACCAACTGCCAAGACTTCCAAAAAAGGACGCGCTTCTGCCTCGTTTCCTTAGCTTTATCCGCTCGGCCAGTTGCTGATTGGTGGCCGATTTCTTCTGGGGGTTGTAGGTGCTGACTCCTCATTGGTAGAGGTTGTTTAGGTGGGACGCAATTCTTTCCAAGGGAAGGGGATTGTTGCTTAACATTAGAAAATCCCCATTTTTGGGTTTTTCCCGCGTGACTTTCCACCGCGCACGTGACCTCTCCACGGGGGGTACGGTACGCGCGAGAGGACCGGTACCTCGGTGTAATTGCACAAGTTTATGATGATAATCCGCCAGACCGAGGTTTCGTCGCGATTTCTTGCGAGGCAACATAGATCTTGAGCATTTGAATTTTCGTTGCTGTGTTTTTACTACTTATAATACATAGTAAATTACTTAAAATGTATCGGAAAAAGAATCAAGGCTGTAATTGCAGCAAAAGGTGGCGCTACCAAATACTGACTTCATTGTTACTTCCTAACTATATTTTTTATAACTACATAAGCTAAGTTTAACATTTTTGTGTATCTTTAGTGGACAATTGTTGAAACCTTGATATTGTGATTTTATTTCTACACAAACACAAAAAACATTTTTCATATTGTGTCTCTAATAATTTGATCACCTGGTATATGGTTTAGGTTATGTTGGAATTCACGCGTAAACGGAAAAAGTTTTCTGACCTAAGTTTTATTGCACCCCTTGCTGGCCTGAGGACTCCAAGAAACAGTCAGTGCCGTCGCCGAACTACTTACGAATCCACGCTCAGGACCGACACAAAAGTTTATAATACAGTTCCATTCAGTAGTATATTTCACGCCTTAATCTTCATTCAATATTCATTGTTTATTAACTGGAACACATATTTTTTCATAGTTGTTGTTATTGTAATAAACAACTTACAGTGGGTGATCAAATTATTAGGGCCACAATAGGAAAAATTTGTTTTTCGTTTTTGTGTAGAAATAAAATCACAATATCAAGGTTTTCACACTAGATCATTTTTAATTAACGATTGTTCACTAAAGATACACAAAACAGTTAAACTTAGTTTATGTAGTTATAAAAAGTACAGTTAAGAAGTAACGATAAAGCGAGTATTTGGTAGAGCTACCTTTTGCTGCAATTACAGCCTTGATTCTTTTTTCGACACATTTTAAGTAATTTACTAAGCACTATAAGTAGTAAAAACACTGCAAGAAAAATTCAAATGCTCAAGATCTATAAACCAAGAAAACTGTAACACGTGGTTCTCAAGTGGCGATTTGCAGTACTGATACAAAATAACGTCCATACGACGGAGAATATTGCCTAAGGTGTTGCCAAGTGTACATTTGCAATTTGTAAACATCAACGGTTCATAAAAAAAATAATAAGAATTCAGTATAACTAGGTTTTCATCAGAAAATTAATCGTTATAATGCAAAACCGTCAATTTCTTACAGGTGGCTCTAATAATTTGATCACCCGCTATATTAACACCACGTGTTCTTCTCCAAATCAATAAATATTTTCAACAGGCTAGAATTTGTATCTTTTGACCGGCTAAGATTTTATATTTCGAGTCATTTCATATCCCTCGTAACACCCACCAAGTTTCGTCTCGATAGGCCATTAGGGCCATTCGGAACATCCTGTCGTCGAATCACTTTAGACGGTGGATTTTACGAATTATCTTTATTTGTTGATAGTTTTTTCTTTACACTGTGGTTTTGCGAATATAAAGTGTACGGTCTAAACTGCATTGTTATTCAATGCTGACTGCCCTTTTCTTTTTCGAGGCTGCCTTTATATTGGGGTTTTTGGGAGTTGCGAGTGGGGGAATTTAGGAATGCGTCCGTTAGGTAAGGACCAGGAATGTGTAAGGATAATGATCAGGACTCATTAGGATTGAGGGTTCGATGGTACGGGAGAAGAATTGCAGGGACAATGGTTAGATAATGAACTTAAGGATTCGGTACAAAAGAAATGGGTCGAGTGCATCAGTTTGAGGATTTGTCGGAGATAGGACAGGAATACGGTGGGAAAGTGGAAAACGCGCAGGTAGTTGTCAAAACGGTACCTGCGATAAGGATCTGTATGCATGGGAATCAAGGGACAAAAAAAGTGGAAAACGCGCAGGTAGTTGTCAAAACGGTACCTGGGATAAGGATCTGTATGCATGGGAATCAAGGGACAAAGGGATGAGGATTCGACAATCCCAAATCTGACTTGAAAAAAGAAACGTATTAAAAAAATGTCCACAGTTCAGTTTTATCGCAATGCAATTAGGATGACGTGGCATTGAGTGTTTTCGTAACGATAACCAATCTCTTTTGTCACTTTACTCGATCGAGAGAGGAGGTGGATTCGAGGGGAGAAAAATAGAGAGAGCAACGAACGTATGGAGCACCGGAAACTGCTGACCGAAGCTCATTAACGAAATCAGAGATTTCGAGGGAACAGAGCGAAAGAGGCCGATCGCAAACGAGCGAACGTATTTGCGCAATAGACGGACAAATATCGTTTCCTACTTCCGTACTAATCGTTAACTTCGAGATCGTTTATCTGGCCAGGTCCTCGAACGTCTGCATCCGAGTGGAGGAATATTTACCCGGGCACGATCGACTCGTCCCGAAATGCGGCGCTGTTTGCGCGAAATTCCGCGAGAAATTCCATCGTAATTAAACGAGCCTGGCTCGATTATAAAGTCAAATCATTGATGGAAGGGGATAGGAGATTTTCTTTTCCTCTTCTTCTTCTTCTAGGCTCTCGCCTCCTACAGTTACTCCTTGCCTCCTCGTTTCATTTTATCTTTATCCTTCTGGCGGTTCTTTCGTTTTCTCTTTTGGCACGATTTTAGCGTAGTTGTGAGAATTGACGTTTTAACACTAAAAATACCAACCGGGTCAAAATGACCCATTAGCATCTTTCGAAAAAACGGGAATGTTCAATACTGGTAAGTATCATCGTTTGTAACTTTCCAAATTTATTTTTTACATGTATGCTTCTATTTGTATCGATACGAATCGAATTTTCCAATCACTGTTTACTTACACAAAAATTCACTTTTGGAAAGTCGCTAATGGGTCATTTTGACTCGGCTGGTAGTTCTAGTGTTAAACAATAG